CTACAAAAGTTCTTAATGATTTTGCAATGATGCAGAATGGAAAGAAAAGTAGAATTAATTAGTTCCATCTACTACTGACTTTGTTTATCTTAATCCCTGGCTATTAGCTCAATCAACTATTAGCCATCAACCACCATTTCCATTCTTATCTATCGTTTGAAGCCAACAGATTTTTAAAACAGTGAGTAAAGATAGGCTCCAAGCCTCTATATCCGTGATGGCAAACCTATGGCACGCAGAGTCCTCTCTGTGGGCATGCACACCATTGCCAGCTGCTCTTCTGGTTTCCGGCACACGCATGTGCGCCAGACAACTGGTCTTTGCCTGTGCCAGAGCACTGGAAACCCAAAGACTATGTGGCCAGCGCACACATACTGGACTTCAGGTTTCCAGCACTGGTGCACATGCACGCATTCTGGTTTGGGCACTTAGTGCCGAAAAGGTTTGTCATCACTGCTCTGTATAACAAGCCTTTTATTACTGAGCGAATGTTAATTGATTTACTCCATAAATTGAGGCAGAGCCTTTGAACACAATGGGATTGTATTTCCCCTTCAAGTAAAACATGAACATTGGATGTTTGTGAAGAATAACAAATTATACAATTCGCTTGACAGCAATTTTGCTAAAGAAGGGATTTTTCAAGCTTTTAGGATTTAAATTTAAGTAATTACTATATAGATCATAAGTAAGCTTAATAGAATAATAGAGCTCTCAATGTTATCTCCTACTTTCAATGCAATACAAAGCAAAAGAAACACATTATTTCTGTATTAACTCTTTGAGAACTTTATTGCAGTGTACATGCACTATAAATTTCGAAGAGCATTAAGCAAAACTAAGAAACACTAGAAAAATGGGGAATTAATGGATTAATCCTTTGAAATAAGAGCAATAGGAACAAATGCAAGGGAAAAACCTGTTACAATTGTATTGGAATCTTGTGCATGAGACTTTCTCCCATACCTGTTCCATACCTGACCCATCCAACCTCACTGAAATATAGACTTAATTTCTCAGAACAAAGTGAAATTTCAACATCTACATGAAATTATTGAGAGATTTCTAGTGTAATTTTATTTTAATGTATGCCAATTAGTGTACATTCAAAGTCACATTAAAGTATTGCATTGTATTGTATTTCTATTCTGTTCTGTTCATTATGTTAAGAGGTCACTAATATGTTGATTACACTCAGGTGGATGGAGGACAAAAAGAAAAGAAATCAACCCACTAATATTGTAGAGATATTGATTATAGTGCTTTGTCCATTATCTGTCTGCTTTGGATTGAATGGCTTTCTTCTAAAAGGTTATATTTGCATTTTGAAATATTCTTTCAACTTGATGAACAGATTTTGATTTACTCAGATTAATAGAATATGTAGAAGTCTACCAAATGAAGTCTTGTTATACCATGTTTCCCTGAAAATAAGTTCGGGTCTTATATTAATTTTTGCTCCAAAAGACATATTAAGATTAATTTCCCATTAGGTCTTATTTCTGGGGAAATGCAGGTACTAAATTCATCCGTTTTGATGTCTTAACTGGGGTTTATTTTTGGGGTAAGGCTTATATTACGAGCACCTTGAAAAATCATGCTTATTTTCCAATTAGGCCTTATTTTAAGGGAAACATGGTAGCTATTCACAATCTGCTAGTTTACTGTTGAGGGATTCCCTTAAAACATACTGCAGGGATAGGACCAAAATGAGAAATTGGGGAAGATAATGAGAAAAATAAAAATCAATATTATAGCAGGATCCAATCTGAGTCAGCCACAAGGACTGGAACTTTAGTCTTCCGAGCTTTCAGATTCATACTGAAGCCCATCCACAGGTAATTTCTCTCAAGTAGAGTGTGTGCTTTGGATTTTTTATATCCACAAAATACAGAATAGTCCAACACACAGAATAGCCCAATAGCCAATAGCACCCGTTCTTTTGGGAAAATTCTCTGAGGATGGGCTCCAGTACAAGTCCGAAAATTCAGAAGACAAGTTATATAATTAAAGCCTATCTGCTGTTATGTCTTGAAGTCTCAAGCAAGGTTCAGTGAGTGTCCTTTTCCCACATCTCCCCATCAAATAAGGTGAGGAAAATGGAAGTTAAAAGAATGTTTATTAATGAAGCTTAAATGTGGAATGTCCTCCCAAGAGAAGATAACTTGGTATCCATGATATAGCCTATTTTTTCTCCCAAATATTTTCAATTTTGTGATACAGGTAATCATTGGCTTACAAGTTATGGCAGAATTGAAAAAAAATACTTATGGACTGAAAGCTATTGATTGCCATACAACCTTGTGGTCACGTGATTATATTTGAGGCACTTAGCAACTAGCTTGCATTTACAACCAATTGCAGCATCCTGCAATCACATTTTATGGGGCTTTTTACAGGCTTGGAGGGTTTGGGATCTTGTTTTGTTTTTTGTTGGCAAAAAAACAACCATCAGATGAGTTGGATTTGGACCGACGAACACATGACTTGTTTAACAACCTTTGTAAAGATGGTTGTAAAGTCGAGTCTGGTCATATAGCGACTCGACCTACAAATTAAATGACTTATGACCAAAATTCTGAGCTCAATACAAGGATTACCTATATTCCATCTTCCATGTTGGCTCGTGTATATTACTACTTGTAATATTGTAATATTGTACATTACTAACTACTGGTGGCCTCAGCCAATTGAAAATATTCTTATTTTTGTCATTTTGTATTTGTGAATAATTTACACTTATATATAGTTTAGAGCATGCATGTATGTAGTTTAGTAACTTGGATAATAACTTGACAATAACTTATTAAATAATTTTAGTAACTTAAATTACAAAACATTTGGCATGTCTACTCTATTCCATATAGCTTATAATATGGAGTTCTCATAAAGAAACACAAGATATTGAGTAATTCATTTGTATGCAAATCTGAATCTTTTTTATTACTATAGAACTCCAAGGTCCTTATTAACATTTGCATTTAAAAAGACATTCATTAGAGCCCTGTCATACTTTGTCACTGCACATTTTCATCCAACTTAAGCATTGTGCTATCAGAAAATGACTGATAAACTTGCTTTCAGACAAGGGGTGGGTTCCTGCCAGTTCTAATCTCTTCTATAGAAGAGGTTCCACAAATCTGCAGTGCCGTTTAGAACCGGTTCCAGCTCCCTCCCCCGCCCATCTGCACATAATCAAGATGAAGAGCGAGAGGAGGAATTCTGGGAGTTGAAGTCCACAAGTCTTAAAGCTGTCAAGTTTGAACACCCCTGGGTTTTTTTTTCTAAAGGGTTAGGGGTGCAAGGGTCTTGTAACTTGACAGATTTAAGACTTGCATGCTTCAAATGCCAGAGTTTCTGAGCCAACATTTTGGTTATTAAGTGATTTTCACCACATTTTACAAGTTGGTCACACCCACCCAGTCACATGGCCATCAAGCCACTCCCACAAAGCAGGCCACACCTACAGAAGAGGTTCTAAAAAAATTGAAACCCACCACTGTTTCAGACATTTACTTGACAACATAAATGCACCTTGTCATGAACATTTCCAAAAGTATATTTAAGTAAAAGTTTCAACAGAGATTTTAAAAAAACAGTGGATTGAAGTCTGATGTAAATGACTATACCCATTTTATCCTACATCTGTTAATTCAAATGGAATTTTGATTTGAGAGTTCAGGGACAAAATGGATTTGCTCAGGGAGAATATCAACATTATGTTAGTTCCATGAGTGCTACTTACACTCTTAAATTTCAATGCTTTTCGTATAGCAAATTTGTAACCACTTTAAATTACAAACCACAGTAGCAGAAAATACAAGTTATTACAACTATTTTATGGTTTTAAGTAAAAGCATTATTTTCATAGGTTAGTTCCCCATTCTTAGTCATAGTTACTAACATCTAGTTGCTGACAGGAAGCCCATAAGATAATAGCACCTTTCTGCTCTTTTTTCCTAGAACTGATAATCAAAAAATACAATAATAAATGTAGTGTGTATTTATTGACTCCCACTACACATGCTATTTTCCACTCCATCTTAAGGAAAATATTTAAGCCCACAATTTATTAAGAGGCAAAAATGAAACCCAGTAAGCCTAATTCCTCAAACTATTAATTTAGCCAAGTAGGTTAGTTAGAATCAATATAATGCCTGGTCACTGAATGCATTTTTCTTTGTTATTGGTCTAAGGCATTCATAATTCAAATACAAATAAACACGTATTTAGGCAAAAGGTAAAATCTGCATTCTAGTCAAGATCCATCCAAGGAGAAGGGGCAGCCCTGAGAATTTTTTAGATAGAATAGCAGATAAATATCAGGTAGAGTTTTTTAAAAGGTATTCTTTCTTATATCCCATATAAATGAGGACCTGAAAAACTGAACACTAAAGAAGAGTATTGGTTTTCATGTTCACTGTAAAATATTGAAATTGAATACATACTTGAGTTGTGATTTAGTCAAATGACAAATGTATAATATTTACTGATCAATTTCAATACAACTGAAACATTTTGTTGAACTTTGACTCATAATAACTTACAGACTTCAAATATTTGGTTTATAGAATAAAATTATGAAAAAATACTATATTGTGAGACTACAAGATTAAAGCTTTAATGCCAATACAGACTGAGATTTTCATTTTCATTAAGGAATCAAACTAACAGCTCTACACAAAATAAGGGCCATATTCAACAGGCAAAGCTGTTAGTTTAACTGAATGTTAAGGAGAAATCTCTTACTAGGGAGCATCATATCAGTTAAAACATTATTGGTCAAGAGCACTCTCTTAATCAGGTGTTATATTCTGGTCACAATGAAGTTATGCAATTGATAATCACCAAAGCAATCTAAATAAAAGGATACTTGATGGTCCTTTTTCTTCGCAACAACATCTTGCTTCATGGACAGCAATTAAATCAAATTCACAGCCTTATTCTAACGAGGCACTTCTTGCTAAGCTACTGAAGTACCAGTTCTTCATAACACATACCTGTGATGGCCCATATGCCTGGCTCTTTTTATGTGTCCAACTCCCCTGCAGCCTGCTGTAGGGCACCCTCCTTGTTCTAGAGCTTCTACTAATTCCAGTGGACCTAGACAAATAATACAAAAACCAACTTCAACATTAGCCTCATATTTACTCAAATCACAGGAGTGGGCAATTAATTTTCCTAAGGTGACACACGAGAAATGGCCTCGTTTCTCGTGTCCTCTCCTGTGGCGGACCGTCATCCTGCCCCTCCTCCCTCAGTGAAGAGTTGGATGTGGGCCATAAAATGTTCAAGTCTACAGTAGAATCTAAATGATGACACCCCCTTTTGATATGTTTTTAAAAACTAAACAAAGTTCCAGTGAACATAAAATATTTGAATTACATTGCAACAATGTGACTCCTTTTTCAATCAAATTGTCTGAGTATAGGTAAAACAATGATTTCTACAACTTTGAAGAAATCCACCTGGAATTCTTGTCATGGGTTAGTAAACATGTATACATTTTCTCTTCTTGAAAATCAGAATACCCACAAATATAAGAGGCTTCAATTATTAAGTGTTTCCCAAGATATCCACCGATTTCCATAGACCTTGCAATCACTCTGTGAATGATTTACTACACAACTTGGTTCTCTCACCGCACATTAATTTGACATGGCAGAAGAAAACTGACTGGTAAATATTTATTGTATTTTTGCATTTTAATTATCTTACTAAGAGGGGGCTGAAGAGGATGTCCAGTTTTTCCACACCAGCCTGCAGGATGTATGTCCGGGTTATCTGCATCAATCCAATAGTCATAAATACTATCCCAGCCATCAAAGTGGATCTAAAACCCAAAGATATAGAATGTTGAGATCCTTGTAGTTTCAGACTACTTTCCTTTTTTTAAATAAAAATTAGTAGGTTATTTATTTGAGCTTTATAAAGAACAAATCACACAAAAGCACATCGTGTTTGTACTAATTATGGTGGCTTTATATTTACTTTGCCAAGATAAAAATTCCAGTTATATTTTAACAAACCCTTTAAAATTTTAAAGCATGAGTTTAAAGCTTTAAGATGTTTCCAAATTCAATTTTCAATTATGTTTGGCTCCCAGATGCAGCTTAGCCCATTTTTTTCCCTTAAGCCTGCCAAATGCTAATCAGAATTGGAATAAGGTATAACAAATGTCAGAATTGGTATAAGGTTTGCTACGGGGTATTTTGCCCAAAATCCAGCAGTAAATGCCTGCTTTTGGCAAAAACATAGTAAAACATGGTCATGTGACTGCAGGACGCTGCAAATGGCTATAAACATAGGTACTCAACTCGTTCCCCCCAGACTTCAGAACTGATCATAAGTTCTTTTGGGTGGTCAGTTGTAATTTTGAACAGTCACTAAGTAACCAATGGTAAGTTGAGGACTACTTGAATTTTCTCTTAACTAAGGTGTTCCAAAGTGTACTCAAACTATTCCAAAGCAAAGCATCAAATGTTTAGATCCTGAAATTCCTTTATCCTAACCACTGAAATTTGTCGTTATGATTTATCCTAATCATAACAATTAGTAATTATGAGTTAAGTATATAATTCAAAAGAGATTAAATTCTGGTTATCAGAAAGATAAAAGTCATGATGATGTTGACTGACTCGGTAGGTCTGAAATCACAAACCATGGTTAATTTACTAAATTAGCAAACTAAGGTGTCACTTCCCTCACAGTATAACAGTGGTAACAGCTGGTACAATCACATTTGGATTAACACTGAAAACAGTTGATTCTTTCTTCAACTGCTGACAGCACAAATTAACAGTTCAATTAGGAGTGAAGTGTAATATGGTATCTCCACAGGATGCAAACCTCACAATCCATGCAAACTGACAAAGACAGAAAGAAAGAGCTTTTGTCTTGATTATGTGTTTCTTGGAGATTTAGAGTGCAAATTTATGGGGACCTTGTGAATGTGTGAGAGCACTACGTCTCACCACATGGTGATGAGTTAAAACTGGTGAGTAATATATCAGAGATCAGTCCACTACAAATAAAAAAACACTTTCATATCTAATCATGGAACTTAAAATTGTTACAGACTTTATCTGAATGGGGACAAATTCAATAGGATGAAGCTATATTCCTCCTATTCAATGAAGTGAATAGAGAAACCAGAGTAGTATTATGTGTAATAAGATATTATCATTTATAATTGTTCAGCAGTTGCTCCTGTTTAAAAATCAAGATATTTAAAAACGAGAATAGAAATTACTTTAATTCTGTGATCTTCTGTTTCAACCACAGTAGCTACTCTGATAAGCGCAGGATTCCTCTTGTCAACAGCTTCAAGTTTCATATTCTTCTGAAATCCATGAGAAAGTTTCTACAACAGAGGAAAGTACTTTTAGTTTAATTTGTATCTATTATTTATACCACAATGTTCTATGCTGAGGATAGGAGTCACTGGAAGAAGCTTGCTGTTCTCTGCATTTCACAAGAAAGGAACCAATGATGATGATATTCTATAAAATGTTAACTAACTGTATAAATTATTATTCAGTTGATTGACAATTTGGTCTCCCTTGGGCTCCCAGGTAGCAACTGTGGCCAACAGAGCCCTGGCACAGTTTAAACTTATGTTCCAAATTGCGTATTGGGAAGTATTATTCATTGTCACACATTCGTTAGTGATTTTTTAATTGGATTATAATATTGTTAGTGCACTCTACATGGCCCTTAAAGAGCATTTGAAAGCTATAATTGTTCCAAAATACAGTAAGTCAAGCCATTATACATGCATTTCCTGGTACCCACATAGCACCTTTACTCTTGAAGCTATACTGGTTAGCTTTTGGTTGCTTCCATCACAGGGGTCTCCAACCTTGACAACTTTACGACTTGTGCATGCTATCTGAGGACTTCTGGGAGTTGCCAAGGTTGGAGACCCCTGACCCCTGATTCAAAACTTGAGTTTCTGCAGAAACATCTTTTCCTAGCAACATCTATCTGTCTGATAAGATGTAAGAGATTGTGTCCCTCTATCAAAGGCTGCCATCTTCAGGGACCATGAAATTATGCCATCTCAATTGTTGCCCTCCCATCAAGGAATAACAGCTCCAACATCAAAGTAGCAACTTCCTCATGGCTTTCAGGAAATTAGTGAAAATTTTGATTGTCTATCAAGCCATCGAGGCTGGTTCACTGTAATTATCCCTCCCAAGAAAGAAATTGTTTTATTCTTTTGAATATTTCTCACTGTTTTATGTTATAGGTAAAGATAAAGGTTCCCCTCGCATAAGTGTGCTAGTCGTTCCTGATTCTAGGTGGCGGTGCTCATCTCCATTACAAAGCCAGTGCTATCCGAAAACATCTCCGTGGTCATGTGGCCGGCATGACTAAATGCCAAAGGTGCACGGAACGCTGTTACCTTCCCACCAAAGGTGGTTCCTATTTTTCTACTTGCATTTTTATATGCTTTCGAACTGCTAGGTTGGCAGAAGCTGGGACAAGTAACAGGAGCTCACTCCGTTATGCGGCACTAGGGATTCGAACCACTGAACTGCCNAAACCATTTTTAAAAATCAAAAACTACTGCATGCTGTTACCAAACACTCCTCTATTTTTCTGGTTGTGATTTTGTGGTTTGTCCCAGAGAAACATATTTTGCATTGAGAGAAATAAAGAAGAATCTTCTACCAGAATGGTGGTGTGAATCAAATGCATTCAAAGTTGAAGTTGCCCTTTTACTAAAGTTGACATTGAATTCTATGACTGTTATGCCTATGCTGCAGCCTTCTCTAGAACCTTCTACAACTATAAAAAATGTTGGTGGAAATCTGCACAAAGACATCTATGTTCCCACCCAATAGAGGGCTTAGGAATATCCATGAATTGATGGTTCAAGCATGCTGTGAATGCAGACTATTTTTAGGGATGGCAGTTACAGATAAGCAACTGTAGATGAACAGCAAACCTTACTCTCCAACCAATATGGATAATATAGTGTTTCCAGAAACAAAAATTAACAAATAAGAAGGTTGCCAGTTAATATCTGGTGTCCTTAATCCAGTGATAAAATTGCTAAGAGGAAATAGAAATATTTCTTTTTTCCAAAGAGTAAAAAAAAAATCTACAATGTTGTGTGGGAAGTTTCTATGAACATACAAAAAGCCAAGACGTGACAAACAAAAGTGAAAAAACGATTCAATTCCAATTTCAGTATAGAATAGGAGAGAAAGAGAATAGTTTCACTGAGGCAAAAGTCAGATACAAGGAGCAAGATGAGGTCACAATGCAGGCCTACCTTCTTGAGATAAAACATAGGATCTATATAAAAAGAAAAGTGCCACCAAAAATCTGGGTTTGTGTGTGTTTTATATACAGATACATACAAATATTTGTCTGTTAAAATGTAAGTAATACCAGGTGATTATATCAATATTAATAATACACCTCAGAAAATGTCTCTTGCTGTGGCGCAAGAAAATAGAATTGCTATCAATGCTACAATTGGGTGCTAAAATTGAAGTGTGTCATAGAAGGATAAAGCATTCATTTATGAGTCTTGTATGATCACAGCTTAGAAGATCGATCACAATATGAATTAGAAAAGGAAAAAAATGTTAGGCAATTCTCAAATTGCAAAGCACTGCAGTATTCCTTTGCTTGTTGATGTAACACACCATAATGATATTCTTAGACTCAACCTGTAAGATCTGGTTCCAAAGAATTGGATTCAAAAGCTTAGATGATGTTCAGAATAGTGAAGAAATCTGGATGGCTAATATAGAGATAATTCTTGGCAATTATGTGGCCAAAATATTACAACGACACAGTTCACTGACAAAACACTCCTATTAATGGAATAATGCCAAGATGTTCTGTAGAACCATTTTTTGGAATTTATGAATTAGATGCAATTGTTCACTTTTGAAGTGAACAACTATTTTGAAGATCCAAAACAGACCATATTCCTCCATATTTCTCAACATAGAGTAATACTGAAAATAAAAGCCTTTTTCTCTTTCCTTTGAAGGAGATTGATTTGACTTCAAGTACCTTCCTGCTAATTGTCCTGCTGGCTGGGAAGCACATAAATATTTGTAAGGAAAATAATCATTATCTAGGTGATACAACCAGATTCTATTTTGATCAGTGTTCACATATTTATGACGAAATATGGATGGACTCAAAGAAAAGAGATAAATGTGATAAAAGTTCCCCTGAATCTCATCAACTGATCAGAAAAATTCCACTCCATGTAACAGAGAGGTCCCTTATTCTACTTTCTGAGATTGGTCCGAAACCCTTGGGATCAGAAAGATTACATAGGAGTAGGTAAGCACTATTATAAGAAAAAGGATACACTGATCTAATTAACTGGGGCACTATGGACCAAAGAAGTCCATAGTGAAGTCCACTATGGACCAAAGCAGAAGACATTGATAAAGATGATTTCAACCCATTTATCTTTCTGAACAGTAATTCTTTTGTGTCCTGGTATCCTTTAGCTTTTTGGTCTTCTTATCCTGTCCTGTAGAGGCATTTATGTATTGCCTAAGCACAGGTGGAAAAAGACTGTTTTTGGTAACTTTGTAATGTTCTGAGAAGTTGATACCAGAATTTTGTCTGTGAGGATGTGCAGCAGGGGAAGACTTTCTCCAAAATCTCTTCAGCTACGGGTTCAGGGTAGGCACAAATCATAATCTGATGCACTTTGACCATGATGAAGATATAATGCTTTCAACTATATATTATTTCTTCTTCTTCTTCCTTCTAAGGAAGAAGAGAAAAATATTTAGGTTTATACCCTTTTTGAAACCACTGATATTCTCATCAAGCATCCTAATGTTAAACTAAGGTAGTTATTAAAATTTCATCATGAGGCTTTCTTTTGAGAGTACTGTGTAATTCATTTGTTAGCTGTTCAATCATTAAAGCATTGGTCAAAGGATAATTTCTGTGCATCTTCTGAACATAAAAAATATGCCGTAGACATTTTCAGATCTTGGAATTTAAATATTTCAGAATTCACTTATATTTTATAATGTAAGAAAACATGAAAAGAAAGTATGTACCACTTTTTTTTACTTGTAGATGCCTGTCTCTCACTATAAAAGTATACATCTATGCTGCCTTAACACATTTTTTTAAAGAAGCTCATAAATTGTTTATTGATAACATAGTACCTTTTGGTGGATGAAGTTTATGCCCAGTTTTCTCACACCACCCAACAGGGTGAATATCTGAAGAATCAGCATTCAGCCAAAAATCGTAACAATCTGGGTATTCATCAAAATGGAGTCTAATTCTGTAGCCACAAATCTAAAATCAGAATATATAAAAATATACATATGAGTAGAAGCGTATCTCCTCATGGGCCTTACAAGGCAATTATTGAATAGTGATGGCTAACCCTTTCGTTGTTGCATGCCAAAAGCACGCATACACACCCATAATGCAATGTGTGCGTGACCCCAAAACGTGCACCCAGTCCCCCATGCATGCACAGAAGAGACCTGAAAACCAGCTGGCCAGCGGGAGGTGTGTGCACATGTGGGGTGGAGCTGTGCTGGGGTGTTGGCTCACATGCCTGCAAAAAGGGCTCTGCGTGCCACCTGTGACATACGTGCCATAGAGTAGGTTCGCCATCACAGGAATAGGGGAACAATTCTCAAACAAACTTTAGATTGCATAATCATTCAATGCAATAGTGCAAACCTATCGCATCTTTCTCAAGATTCATTCAAAATACACACACACACACACACAGAGTTTATAAGTAAAAATCCAATATTTCTTTTCAGCTATAATCCAAGGGAACATTCTAAGTATTTCTTTTAATATTAGAGCCTACCTAAGTCTAATCAATGAAGTTGAGNCTAAATGCCAAAGGTGCACGGAACGCTGTTACCTTCCCACCAAAGGTGGTTCCTATTTTTCTACTTGCATTTTTATATGCTTTCGAACTGCTAGGTTGGCAGAAGCTGGGACAAGTAACAGGAGCTCACTCCGTTATGCGGCACTAGGGATTCGAACCACTGAACTGCCGACCTCCTGATTGATAAGCTCAGCGTCTTAGTCGCTAAGCCACCACTGTCCCCTATGTTTATGTTAACATTTATGTAATTATAATATACTTTTTTTTAAAAAATCCACCTTATTTAGCTATATTGCTTTTAATCCAGTTAAAAGCCCTATAAGCCAAGTAAAAAAAAATTAAAAAAAATAAGCCATGTATCTAATAGTTAACAAGTCCCCTTTTTTCTTGTTTTGATTCAGGAAACAAAATGGTAGAGATAATCTTCAACTTACGACCATTCATTACGACCATAGTGACAAAGTTATGATGACTATCAAAAAAGTGACTTATGACTGTTTTCCACCCTTATGACTGTTGCAGAATCCCCATGGTTACAATTGGCAATTGGCGTGTATTTATGACAGTTGCTGTGTCCCAGGGTCACTTTTTTACAACTTTCTGACAAGCAAAGTCAATGGGGAAGTCAGATTCACTTAACAACCATTACTAATTTAACAATTGTAATGGTTCACTTAAAACAGTGGCAAGAAAGGTCATAAAGTGGGGCAAACCTCACTTAACAACTGCTTTGATTAGCAACAGAAATTTGGGGCTGAACTGTGGTCATAATCAAGAACTACCTATACACTGAAAATAAGCCATGTTTAGGTAGTGCATTTCCTTCATTATCCTTTCATAAAATATCATTAAAGAATAAAAAGGGAAGAAAGAAAAGTTAAGATATTGTCTTAATATATTAAATATGCAGATATTGTCAGGGTGTTGGATCTGGCCTGAAGACCAATTATTGCTGAATTCCAAAAATGGGGAAAATATTATCTCAGCTCAAAGCAACAAGGTCAAAAGGTTAGATATTAATACTGATCATAGCAGAAATAGTGGTGGTAGATGATAAGCAGAATAAGTATGAAAAAAGCAATAGATGTTTCTTACCACTTTAAAAGCTCTAGCAGGTGCAGGTAAAGAACTGGTTTCTTCCAAATATTTTTCCCAAGAAAAATGTTTGCCATGTGGGTAGTCTAATTGATAAATAATGATACAAGATTTAAATATATCATACACTGGATATATTCAAAGCACTGTGCATCGGACTTCAATTAAAAGGAATAAAGTAAACATGACCTACACTGCCTTGTAGTGGGTGATCCACAACACCTTGCAGATTTAGTCAACATAGTTAATACAGAGGAGTACCAGGAATTGTCATTCACTAACATTTGGGGGGATATTATTCTCACTGCAAAGTACCCTACAGAGGTTTTTTTTAGTGGAATCTACCTGTTGTGGCCCTCCAGCGGCCAGTGGATCTGGCAGCAGATTGAGACAGTGAGGTGGTTGGGGAGGAACATGGAACATGGGCCATACCTGGAGTCTGGGGAAGGCTCTGATTAGGGCTCTGTGTTGGAGTCGGAGAGGGGGCCAGAACTGTATGCCAGTTATCAGCTGTTGTCAGAGTCAGACAGCAAGGCAGATGAACAGCTGGAGCGCATGTGCAATTGCAGACGAAGGGAACAACTAAAGAGCAGGGGTTGACTTGCGGGTAAGGCCAGATGATGAAAGGCAAAAAGCAAAAGGAGAGTGGAGTTTGCAGGAGACAATTAGTTCGCTAATTGGTTAGTGACTCTCAGAGACTCCTTGCGAAGTTCTGCAGATATCGGCCGGTCAGCTCTCCATGCCAGATAAGGTGTGTGACTGTAAATCCTCCTTGGAAAGACTTTGCTGGGTGTGAATGAGCAGAATTCATTGTAAATTAATAAAAGGGTTTTTTGCCAGGACGAGGAGTTGGTTTCGTACTCTTGGGATGCCTTGGTTAGAACACAACCATTAGATAGTCCCCCCAAAATCCCTCTAGATCTACTAGCCTAGAACTCTCACATCTTGAGAGATAAATACCTCTTGCACTCTTTGATCAGCTCCAGATCGACTGGGGTTCTGTTATCGGCTGCAGAGGCCTTCAGGAATTTGGCCTCTGACAGTGAAAAGGAGGCCAGGGGTGATGCGCGCAAGTGAGATGAGTCAGCGGACGACACCCACCCACCCCCAAAATAAGACCTGGTGCCTTTTTTGGTGGCAATTTTTTTATAAGACAGGGTCTTATTTTCAGGGAAAAACAGGTATAGATATTCACAGGTAAAGCCATTTCTTAGCAAAGCTCAACTGAACAAAATTTCTGTGAAGACTGTATATAAACGTTAATGTAAGTTTTATATTAAATGCCATACTGGGAGAAAAGTTGTTAATGCTAGTAAGCCTATTTCAAATTTCCTGTGTTGATAAAACATGTTCTATTAATAGGTAACAATTTTCAATGTATCACCTTTCCAAGTGACTCATAGTATGGCAATGAATTATACCATTGATATGTGTGGGCTAAATTACAGAGTTTGTTCCTGAGAAACTACAATTAATTTACTTACAGGTTAAATATTTATAGCTTATGTAAAGGTTGTTTGATAAGTGAATTTGCATTCTATATATTTTATATAGAATTTTATAACTACAACATGTTATTCATAATTTATACAATGTATTTCTAATTATTAGTGTTCTCATTCATGTAAGTTCTGCATGGAATTAAAATCTTTACCTTTGTACTGAGCCAGTATCCAAAATGCATGTGAAACTAGCTTGTCCAATCGTAACATCAGATCATAAATTCTTATTTGTTTTTACCTAAATCACTCTTAAATTGAGATATTTTTAAATTTTGGCACATTAATAATTTATCATTAAAAATGTTAAACAAGTGAAATAAATAAGTAAAGTTATGCTATTATACAGACCTGGAGGAATTACAAGTGTTTTTCTATGTTCTTTACACCATCCAATTGGATGAATATGTGGACTAGCTGCTTCACACCTGCAGGAAAAATATTGTATTAATTGTGCATCTTTCCTATAAATATATTAATTGCATTTAAGATTTTTTTCTATTATAGTTCAAGGCCAGTGGGGCACGCATGAACACCCGGACTGCTTGTTAAATGGGGACACTGAATAAATTAATTATTGTATTGGAATGCTTTTTCAGAGAGAGTGTGTGTAACCATATTTAGAAAAGGCTGAAATATATATTTGCTAATAGAAACATTTGATTTAAGACAATCTAACACACAAAATTATACTTTAAAAGTTTCTAATCCAGAAAGAATGCCCTGTATAGATGCTTCATACATCATTGGATGCAGCTGAAAATTCTTATTACTTGAAACTAATTTATTTTATTATTACCGAATTTTATTATTGTATTTGTTATATTTCATAAACATATTTTTATAAACACTAGTTATTACTTTTAAGCATACAAAGAAGTGAAAAATGAATATTAAAATTGCATTATATTACATGTTTTTGTCCTATAAAAAGCTGTGTCCTAGGTAGGTACAAGTTAAGAAGATAATGAAACGTAGAAATAAATACAATAAAATAGTAAACTACATACAAAATACTAGTTTTAAATACTAGTTTTAATAGTTTGCTTTTTTTAAAAAAAGTTATTACAGCATTAGTAAACGAAACATAATGAAATTTCTGCCTGTGTTTTTCTATTACCTATGATACTGTTCATTTTTTTAATTGGGATAGCTCAAAAATATTATCAACTAAATATTTTTGTTGGTTTATATTTAATAGGATCAGATACCAATCTTACAATATACAGATCATCTTCTAGCCCCATCTTGTGTTCAGAGGAGAAACTTTATAAGCCATACATGTTTTATGTTAACGGAAAGCCGTTTTGTCAGCAATCCACTTTTTATCTTCCAAAGGTTTTAAAAACAAACCTTGAGAAAGGTTTTCCTTTTTCTTTTTGTTTGTCTTTTACTTATGGAGCTGTTGCCTTAGAAGTAAAATGCATATTTGTTGAATGTTCTATAGGCTGCAACCAAGAGGGAAAGCTCATTTCACTTGCAGCCAGGAAAGAAACAGAGTAAGTTGGAATGGGACAAATGACTCTTGACTTTGGAGGTCTATATATTCACAACTAGGAATATAGTTAAATGCAGTATTGAATTAAACTCATACATTAATTACAAATTATAACCAGTTATTTTCTCAGCAGTTGTTATTATTTTTTTATTTGCATCCAAGTCACCAAAAAATGAAGGTTCTTTTCCTCAGTCTGAGGGAGAGAATTGTGGCAAAATAAAAGGAATTTGAGAGGATACACTGCTAAGAAAGGTTAAATTATCTCTCTTTGCCACCTCCTAAATCTGAAGATATCTGCAGCTGCTTTCCAGAAGAAAAAGTACTTTTAGATAGGGAGAAGAATGTGGAGAAGAGGATTGGAAGGCTATTCACAAATAGATATTTAAGCATTAATGGCGCAACATGAATATTTTCTGTGGAGTTCATTTCATGGTGCCCTTGCTACTTTTAAAGAGCCAGCTTATCGGGTTTACTGCCATAATAGGGCACTGTTAAATAAATAAGTGTGGCACCATTTATCCTAGATTTTAACTACCTAAAATAGTTCTATTTCTGTCCGCATTTTATTAAGGTTGCTGGGCTTAATCTTTAAATTATAGGATCGTTGTTTGTATATTTTTTGCAATATAGTTTTCCACGAGGTCATAGATTTTGCCCTTTCAAAGCTTTGTCTTGGAAGCATCTCAAAAGTTCTCCTGCTTTCACGATGTCATATTAAGTGAGTCCCCTTCGGGGGAAAAGGGCAACATATAAATTTAATAAACTGGCATATAAATTTAATAAACTGATTAAGAACTTGTGAGACTCTGCCAACCCATGAGTTACCAGGTGGCTCTTTTATAAAGTAAAGCCATTCCATGGGGTGAATCCATGGGAAAGCATGGATTCCCTTGACAAATTAATTCAAAACTGGTTTATTAAATTTA